AGATTTACCAGGAAAAACCAAGTTGTTAACATTGAAATTACACATAACATTGTAAACAAAATAAAATAAAATTATTGTTTGTTGGATATTGAGTGGTTTCATTTGCACACAAAGGGGCTACACGTTATCTTAATTTTTCTTTGAATTCACGACCCTAGGTTATCTTTTTCTTAAAGTATACAAATCTTAGTTTATTTGTAAGACTCTCTATTGAGATATAGAATTTAAAAGTAAGGAATAAATAATATTCAGATCTTCATGTCTTTCTTTTTGTTAATACAATTTTTATCATTATTTATGTTAACCATTTCTAAAAATAATCTTTTATTGTAATTTTGTTCTATTTCCAAAATTTTAGGATTTAAAAAATCAAACATATGATTTGTGTCCAATATATGTTCAGATAAGCTGCAACTTCTATTATTTAATCTATAGTCACTTTTATGTCTATTTATTCTGTCTTTTAAAAGTGTTGATGTTTGGCCAATGTAATTTTTATCGCAATCAGTACATTTAATGGAATAAACTACCCCTGATTTTTTCAAATTCTAATCTTTATCTTTATATTTTGAATAGAGATTTGAAATTTTAAAAAAATGTTTGCCACAAATTTTAATATTAACATTTCCATTGAATATTTTTTCAAATTTTTTTGATAGTTCTTTTATGTATGGTAGTGAGAAATAATAAATTTTATTAATTTGTTGAATTTCTGGAGGGTTTTGTGGAACTGAATTATCAATGTTATCATTTATTGAGTTTGAATTGATTGTATTTGAAATATTATTTATAGGATTTATTATATCATCAAAAGACGCATCATTATTTCAAATGTGTATTGTGTTGAAAAAATGGGATGAACAAAAGGATATGAATATGATTTTTTTTTTATTTTCAAAATATTGAATAATTTTTTGATAATCTTTTGAAAGAAAGAAGGGTGACATATTTTGAAAATTCTATTTTTTAATCCAAGAACGAGATTTATTTTAATTTTTTGAGGGTGATATGAGTGAAAATTGATGTATCTTCCTGAATAAGTCGGTTTTGTATACCAATCAGTTATAATGTTATTGTTATTAGATCTTATCAATAATGTGTCTAGAAATACTTTGAACACTTTGATCTTTTTCTTTTTCCATTGTGAATTGAATATTTGAATTATATTGATTGAATATTGTTAAAATTTCATCAACTGAATTTTCTGGAACTGACGTTCTTATGTCATCCACAATTTTTTTTATGAAAGGTAATTTGAATTTCAATTTGGGTATGCAATTATCACATGGGCGTCGTTACGAGGTTTCTCAGGGGGGCAGTATTATAATAAGACCATTTCCATTAGCGCCGCAGGCAACCGCCGTAGGCTAATTTTTTTTGGTGCCACGCCTTTTTTGAGCATTTTAAGGTACTTAGTTGATATCAATATTTAGTTAAAAATGATGGTATTTTTTTCCGCAACAAATTCACTGTCCGCATCATTCGTTCAGTGGCGACGCCAAGGGGGGCCGGGCCGCCACTGAAATTTAGCCGGCCCCCCCTGAAAACTTGCTCTCATGTCGGCAACAATCCAATGTAACATCAGCAGCCTCCGTCGGTTAATTCGGTATTCGGTGAGCACAGGCCAAGAATTGTAAACTAACAGGAATTCTCATCCTCATAAGGCGTACGTTCGTCAATTCTCGAGTCGGCAGGGCCTGCGAGTGACGTCCCTAGTAATTAGCAGCATAACAGCTTATAATGATGACGTCACCCGCAGGCCTCGATGGGATGCTTGCGATTCAGGTTGTGCTTGTTTTTTCGTCAATTTTAAATGTAGAAAAGGTGATTTTAACAAGATTATAACGATTACTGTGACCTGTGACTGTCTTAAACTCGGCTAATTCATTTTACGCCAAGTGTTGAGGTGTTCGGCTGAAATGGCAGACATTTTCAGCTCAAGAAGCGGTCCTATTAGGTTGAGTGTTCTTGAGCACAGGCAACTGCGATGCTGCTTTCGGTTTCCTGGGATTACCTCAAACATATTAATAGTGTCGACAGGTACTTCCCATTTTTTATTCCAAAGAAGAAAAGCAGTAAAATAAAAACAAATTTCCTCCCTAAAGCCAATTTTTCAAAGTACCTAACAAATTTTGAAAAAATGGAAAAAAGCAATACGAATACAAACTCTTTTACTGCTTTCTTGTTCAAAAGACTATTTCTAGGTGGGGCAAATGCCCCCCCTTGCCCCCCCACCCCTAAACGACGCCCATGAATTATCAAGAAGATCATCCATTACGTATTGGGATAAAATTGGAGATAAATTAGATCCCATTGGTGTGCCCAAGATTTGTTTATAATATTGATTGTTAAATTTGAAGTAAGATGAGTTGAAAATTAATTCTATTATATTCAGAAATTGTTCTTTATTTAATGTAGTTTTTTTAGAAACTTCAGGCCAATGTAATGTTATGCTATTTATTATTAAATTACATGGAATATTGCTATACAATGATACAACATCAAGGCTAATTAGAACATAATTTTCTGGTAATTTCATATTTTTTATGAAATCAGCAAATGCGAAAGTATCTTTTGTATAATAGATATTATCACAATCATATGAAGTAGTTAAAATATTTGTGATAAATTGTGATAATTTACTATTAGGAGCATCAATTGATGATATTATTGGTCTTAATGGAATGTTGGGTTTAGGTATTTTGGGCAAACCATAAAATTTTGGAGATTTTTGATTATAAATGGTGAGTTTTTTTGCTTCTTCTGGAGATATTGTCTTATTATTTTTTAATTTTGAAATAATTTTATTTGCTTTTTGTTGAAAAGTCGATGTAGGATCTCGTTGAAGAATTTTATAATAATTATTGTCTGATAATATATCGAGAGATTTTTTAATATAATCCTCTTTTTTAATGATTACTGTTATATTGCCTTTATCAGCTTTTATAATTAAAATATCTCCATGATTTTTTAAAAAACTTTTTGTTTTAAAAAATAAACTTCTTAAATAATTATTGTGAGCTGGTTGAAAGGACCCCGCAATATTTAAATGGAAATTGGTTACCCGTAATATTTGGATGAAATTTAAATATGTTATTGGGGATGCCGTAAGCAACATTTTTTACCATAGGCACAATCCTGTATATATGACAGGTGAGGCGTGATTAGCTATCAAATATTGGAATCTTATATCCAAAAGCAGAGTAACTATAGCAGATTTGTCGACCAAGTTAAGTCGGAAAATGTCAACCATTTTGACACCTGTCAAAACCCTGCCAAACGGCAGCACTCATCTTTTCCAATGTTCAATATTTTATGATGTCATTTTTACATTTTTAACTTATATGTAAGTTCTGAATTCAAAATTTGAAAAAAATTACATCATTTTGGATTTCATTTGTAAGTGTCAAAATGTTTGAGTACTTTAATGATTTCATTATAGTACTAAGTACTATAATGACTGTACTATAATGACTAATGAAATAAAATCCTCTATACTAAAACTACATACTTTAAAATGAATATTGACATCTCTGTCAAAATCTGATAAAACCTGCATATAATGTTTTTTCATGCGTTATCATAAATAAGCCTAACTTAAATTGACAAAGAACTAGATCTGATTCTTTTTTGAATTAAAGCTATTGACAGATTCTGACAGCTGTCAAAATGTGACGTGCATGAACTTTGTTCAATGTTTTATCACCAATAAACTACCTTAAAACGAGAAAGAACCAGATAAGAGTATTTTTTTTCTACTAAAACAAATGACAGGTTTTGACAGTTCTGTATTTTTTTTTTCAATTTTTGAATTCAGAATTTAAATACAAGGTAAAAATGTCAAATGACATCATAAAATATTGAAAACTGGAAAAGATGAGTGCTGCCGTTTGGCAGGGTTTCGACAGGTGTCAAAATGGTTGACATTATTCGACCTAACTTGGTCGACTTAGTAGAAATGGATTTTTTGTTCATCAAAATCTGTCATAGTTACTCTGCTTTTGGATATAAGATTCCAATATTTGACAGCTAACCACGCCTCACCTGTCATATATACAGGGTTGTGTCCATGGTAAAAAATGTTGCTTACGGCATCCCCAATAACATATTCAAATTTCATCCAAATATCACGGGTAACCAATTTCCATTTAAATATTGCGGGGTCCTTTATAATTTGTTATTAACGTTAGTTGCTTTTGCTCTATTTATATTTTTTTGGTTATTTGGATACATGTTAATTAAGTTTTCAATATCTGCTAATAAAGTTTTTATATTTAAATCTTTAGGTTCTGGTTTGATACTGAATTTGTGACCTAATGCTAGAATTTTTTTTTATGTCATCAGGTATTTCAATTTCTGAGTAATCATTATTTACAATTGGTATACACTTTTAGAACATCCCTTGTATAGGTAGCGATAAATTTCTAACCACATGCTGTTCAGGAATTATTGCGATCAGCTCTAGCCTTGGAAATTGCGGAACGACCGACCCTCGTATAATAATGATAGCGCTTTCCAAAGTGGTGCCAATATTAAGTGTTTTTCACATAAAATCGCAAATATTTGAAATCTTAAACCGCGCTGGACTTCGTGACCAATCAAATTTTTATTGTAAACGTAATTAATATACGAGGTCAGTCTGTCAAATTTCCAAGGCTAGAGTGGATGCCAATTAATAGTGAACAGCATTTATAAGGCTAGCCTAGGTAGGATAAGGAAACACCCTGTACGTTTTGACCGTTTTGTCCGTTTTGTCTCATTTTCAATTGTGTTAAGCTAGGAACACAAATTTGAAATAGAATTTGAAAGTTGAAAGATAATTAACTTCTACGATTCGTAACACTTTCTTCATTTTCTCTGATAAATCTTTTCTCCTCTTGCTTTCCGCTTTCTTCTAAGGTGCTCTGCTCTGTTCTTTCAGAACTTTCCTGAATATAATAAATTCTACTTATTTTATCCTAAGATAACACAAGATTTTTCAGAGTGCGGACGTACACATCATGACCATGATGGATGATATTCTTCATTCTCAGACTCATCCATCCCATCCAACATCATTAGGCAGCGAGGTAGCCGAGGTAGGTAACTTTGAATGAATGTTTACCTTTTTTTACCTGCAAGTAAACAAATATTCTTTGACGGTGTTAGGCGCCATAGCAAAATATATGGTAACCTGCGGGACTGTGAAACTTTTCATTCGCACTGTTCTGAGGTAGGTATATTGAAAATCTAAGTTAATGTTCTGGTATTTTCTAAAATAAGGGCGCTCACTTTACTCTTGTGCCTACAAGTTTTATATTACTTATATTATGTTGTGGCGCAAAACCTTTAAGGAATATTTATGTGACTTTTTGACACAAAGCTAGTTTCCCTGAATTTTTTAAAGGTAAACTCCCGATTGCCTGTACTAAATTTAGTCGGAAATAAAATAATCCATGTACCTACAGGGCAGAGTTTATACCGTACCGATAAAGTTGTTCAACTCCATTATTGAAAAACCATTGATTTGATTGATGCCAAATTCTGGCGTACAAATTTCGCGCATGGGCATTATTGATTGGAAACAACGAATCCTGGGCCCTGGACAGTGTCGGACTCGGATTTTTTGACGAATTGACATTAAAAATATAACGCAATCATAATAAATTTGTAAATAATAATAAATACACAAAATTGACGAATAAAGCACGATAAGAAACACACTCTCAACAAAGCCAGCCGACTCTCAAACAAACAATAGACTTTTGGGTTCATCAACAAACTGTTCTTATTTTTTCCTGATACAACCCTGTTGCATGTATTCTTTCACAGTTGTTTCTCGCGGGCTCTCGCCGAAACTAGCTCTATCTTCTTTCGCATACAGGATTGGAAAGAGACACGTATGTGCCGAACTACTTCTCAATTTTACGGAATTCGTTCACTCATTGAGCGCATGTGCAAATATGTAACTCACGCTCGCCTATTGCTTGAGGTTTTTGGCTTCAAAAAACGTGGAGAGTTGTTTAACTGTATCGATACGGTATAAACTGTGTACAGGGTGACCCACATAACATTTCCTTTCCTAATTTTTTGAGCTAGTGAAAATAGTATTACCTCTCATTTTTTGGGACTTACCTACACCCCAATGAAAATATTCAGCACAGGTGTAAGTCCCAAAAAATGCAAGGTAATATCACGAATCTACCTCAAACATACAGATATTTATTGAAAAATAGTAGTTGAGATAATATCATATCCGTACTTTGTGGATCATCCTGTACTTGCCACAAGAATTATAAGGTGTCAATAACGTCGGGCAATTGAAATAAACTTTTTCCTCGGTAATTATTACCCTTATACTAAGGGTACATAAATAAATAGTTATTAATATTTAGCGTTCAATTTTTGAAGATTTCCTAGAAGGCCGTAACGTAGTAGAGCAAGATACCTTTGTGCTTAGGATTCACAGAGGAAAAGTTTTTGAAGAGTTTTTGGAAGCGTTCAAAGAAAATATTGTTGTCATCGATAATATAAAAATTGTAATGATTTTACCAAATGGAGAAATCGAGCAAGGAGAAGACATGGGCGGAGTCTTAAGAGATTCTCTCGCAGAGTTTTGGACCACATTTTATGACCGATGCACCACTGGAACAACATTTAAAATCCCTTACATTCGACACGATTTTGGAGAGTCAGAATGGCTAGCTGTTGCTAATATTCTAGTAAAAGGTTACACTTGGGAAAAATATTTCCCAGTACATTTAGCACCAGTTTTTATGAAAACTTGTATTGATAACTCTGCAATCGTAGATGAAGAACTCGTAGACAATTTCTTAAATTATATATCAGATTCAGATTCGAAAATGGTGAAAGATTCCTTCATCGATATCGAAAATGTGGATTCCGATGAAATCCTGGAATTTGTTTCGGGGTACGATTCTAAATGGAATCCAACAAAAGACAACATAAAACAGTTAATCAGAGACATCGCTCATAAGGAACTTATTCAAAAACCCTCTTTCGTGATCAAATGTTTTCATCAAATAATTTCAAAAAGTAGCATTACATTAGAAGTGATACAAAATTTTTACACGGACTTACAACCAAGTGTGAAAAATTGTTTAAAACAGATTAATTTACAAAAGAAAGAAGAAAACCTGACTATTGAAGAAAAACAAACATTTTCGCATTTAAAGAAGTACATAAAAGAAAGCGATTCCAAAACCAGACAAGCCCTCCTAAGATTCTGTACAGGTTCAGATTTGCCAGTCGGAAAAATTACTGTCGATTTCAATGCGTCATCTAGGTACAGTCGGACTCCTTGTTCAGGAATTCTAGAAGTTCCTTTTACTTACGAAAATTTTCCAACATTTCGCATTGAACTTAATAACATTTTGAATTCCAATATATGGGTAATGAATGTTATTTGAGTTACATATATACCTATCTATTTGTAGTTATTTTTATTCATCAACATCAAGTAAGTTATTATAACTTATTACCTATAAGTGGAAATAAATAACTAGTTCAACAAATAATGATATCATTGAAATAAATAGGATGACATCCCATGCAAATTTTAAACTGTCCAAATGTCTAACTTTAGAGCAAAGTTGTACTGGTATTATTCCAAGGTCTGTGAATACACATGCCGAATTATAAAAAGCTTCGACATGTCATAAATATTTTGGTTTTATTTATCGACACTCCTAATAATAGAAGCCCGGTAGTGCAATCTGTCTTCCGAGTTCTTAGTTCATAGTTCTGACGTCATAACTCAGAATTTCTGATTTACTACGTCATAACTCGGAACTGTTTGGTGAAAATTGAAAATATAGTAGTTAGTTTGATGTCTTTTTTCCGTCCCTTACCGCTGCCATTGGCTTTTATTTTATCAACATTTTCGCATCCTGCAAATAGATATTTTCAAACGTTAGATCGCATTATTTATAACTTCTCCGTAGGTTAAGGTACAGCAAAATAGTTTGAAAATATGAATTTGCAGGCTGCAAAAATGTTGATAAAATGAAAGAGCCAATGGCAGCGATAAGGAAAAGGAGAAAAGACATCAAACTAACTACTATATTTTCAATTTCTACCTAACAGGTAATAGCTGTAGTGGGCATTTCTGAATTATGACCTAGTAAATCAGAAATTCCGACTTATGCCGTCAGAACTATGAACTAAGAACTCGGAAGACAGATTGCACTACCGGGCTTCCGTACCTAATAGAGATCGACATCTCCGTCGAAATCGAGTCGGATGATAGAATCCCCCTGCAGAACTATGAATTTTGTAAAGAAGGTTAAAAAAATTTATATGTGGAATTGGAATATATTCTGCTTCAAGTTAATAATAATTTTAGCTGCTGCCTCAAACTAAGGTACAAATTAACAGCTTCATCTGGATCGGTTAGAGTTTTGATAGTTCCGGCTTCACACATTAGTATCCTGCAGAGTTCGTGCAAATCCTTATCGCATGGAGTACCTATAAACTTGTAACTGGAGGATAGAACATCTAAAGCAAATTCCGGTATAGGTCTCAAGTAATTCTTGGAATTATATAATGATGGCATTTCAAACATTATGGACGGTCTTCCACATGGTGCATTACTATTTCTAGATTTTCTTATCCTATGAACATTCCATTCCAAAACCACTCTATCCATTTCTTTCTGCAAATTTAATTAAATTGATTAAAAATTGGGTTTTTCAATTCAAGTGTTAGAAAAGCGTTAAAAAATGGTAAGTATATTAAAGTATAAGTGGATAATAAGGTCTTTAGCCGAGTGCTCGAAATAGAGCAAGCTGATGAGCCGAATCATCAGCTGATTGTTTTTCATCTTTCTTTAATGAGCACGATTGAAAAAAGCCAAATTACAAAAGTTGGGATAGGGTTAATTGGATCAATGCTTCCGTAAAGCCTTAAAGCTTAATGCTCAGTTGCGCGAAATTCGCTTTTTTCTTGACATTATTTCGACATTTTGACGTTTAATATGTGTATCAAACGTCAAATTGTCGACGCAGTGTCAAAAAAAGCGCGAATTTCGCGCAACATTCGCGCAACTGAGAATGAAGCGACTTCGCGTTTCTTGCTTGGTTTACGATACTACTAAGGATTGCTCATCAACCTCGATTTGTAGCATCAAGATCATATTGTTACGGGTCTATTTTCCGAGAAAATATCTAATTTAATTTTCCTTAGGAAATATATCATAATTCTAATGAAATGTCTTAATGCTATTTAAAATTATTTTTTCCATCCTGTAAATAAACCAAAAATACCAGTCCGTACGGTCAAGCCAAAAACACCTTTAAGGTACCTAACTAATTGTATTACAGAAAAAAAAGGTGAATACTACGATGTTCATTCCTCAGGCAGTCAGTACTGTAGCCTCCTTTGCAGTGTGCGTTATTTGAGGTACTGTACTCTCAGGCGTTTTGCCGATTTACGTTGGAATTTATTCCGAATTTTGATTGTGGGTGGCTAATTTCACTATTTTAGCACCCCGAGCACCTCTCTTTGCTGATTTACTCAAAGTTTCGGGTTTAAAACTTAAATTCCTTGAGTTCTTTTTTTCTACTAGATTTACACACAAAATGGCCGCCTAAAATCACTGGCCTGTTTTTTTTTATCTTCCATTATTGATTCCCCCTATATACTTCCAATCCATGGTTTGGACAAAGTTTGGTTTGGCATACCATTTCGAGAGAATTCGATGTCCCGTAACTTCTGGTCCGGTGACGCAATCACGACGCCGACAATTCCACGACGCATGAGCCCACGCCTTCTCGCCGTCCTGATATCTCTCGTAGCTAAATAACCCGACACTACCAACTCCAGGATATCCAGGTGGGTTCGTTCTAATTTATCTTAACCGTCCCAGGCTCGAAAAGCCCTTCGTACATACGCGGAATCGACCTAAACACCCTGAAAAGCCAAATCACTGGTACATAAATCATCTATATTTGAATCTTAATCAATAAATCAAGTGTCGCGATCTTGTAAATCGCGCTTTATGCGCCGTATGGCACCGCCACATTTTGTGTCTCTCTTCAACGCGCGACCCCGAAAACCCAGCTGACAGAATCAACGAGCAAGAAGAAGAGTCCGCTTTCGCCCTTGCTTAACAACGTTGTTTTTTCCCATAAAAACCCACCATTTTTGTTAAAAACTTAATAAGATATTTTTGAAATTAATATCAGTATATTGTAAAAATTCAGTTTAAAGAGTTGACCTAAAAAAATACAGTCCACATCTATGACGATTTCTGTTTTATTTGTTGCATGGGCAACCGAAATGGAATCATAACCTCAACGTTTGAACATCAAGTAATTAGTTATATACAGGGTGATTCTGAAAGTGAGGGTTTTTTTTTAACAGGGTATATATCTCGCCAAAATAAGTTGTTTGGAAAAAAATTGTTTCTATAAAAAAATTAAGATAACGGAGTTACAGGTATTTTAGGGTTTTGTCACTGATCTGAAAAATAAATGGATAAACAATGAACGCTTCTAATGCTGCTAATTTACGAGGTCATAATGTAAACAAAAACAACTGACTGGGACAGCTGTGAGCGTGCGCAGTAGATACATGTACTGTGCATGCACAAAATCTGGCCAATGAAAACGAAGGAATTTTAAAATTTAGAACAGTTGTTCGAAAGATAAGACACTGCGCAGGCGTTCCGTTGCACAACTGTTCGTAGAATATTGACCCCAAATTTTCGCACAAGTTTAGCCAATCGAGCCGTATGATTGTTTATCCATTTAGTTTTTAGATCAGTGGGTTTTGTACATTAAAAATCTAATTTCAATAATCTGAGATTTAGTAGAGAAAATATGATAAACATTATCACAAAAATTGTTCAAAATTATCCCCATTTGTCTGATGCTTCATTTCCCTCCTAAAGTTTGTTTGTTTCACTTTAAAACGAAAATTGATAGGAATGATAGGTTGAAAATGAAAATTTTTCTGATGAAATAATGCAACTGTGAGTACTCATTATGCTGGACTAATAATGGATTTTTTGCGGCTTTTTTTTGAGAAAATGTAAACAAAGTGATTTATAGTGGAAGTCTTCTTAAATCTCAAAATAGCTGTACCTCCGTTATCTTAAATTTTTTATATAAACAATTTTCTGCCAAACAACTTATTTTGGTGAGATATACATCCTGTTGAAAAAAAAACCTCACTTTCAGATTCACCCTGTATATTTTACTTTAATTAAGTAATTAGTTATTAATTTTTCTTATAAATATTTCAACCGTGTTAGCCGAAGCATATATGCAAAGGACGTTGCGTTGGTACCTTTTTGATTCTATTTTATTTAGTTAGAGAGTATTCAACAATTTCACCTAATAATTTACTTAAATTGATTTGAATAATACCGATTTGATAATAATAATTACCTATAGGTACTGAAAATATTTAAATCAAGTACTTACAGTGAATCTCGGCAAACTTGAATAAAATGCCCCTTCATTATTTACGACAGAGTTTGATTTCCAAATTGGGTGAAATCCTTTAGGTTTCCCGTTTTAGATGTTTTTTTTTTTTTTTTCAGCTAACGTTCTACCTTACTTTAGGGCCATAAAACGGGTGGCGTCCAAAACTATACCTATTTTCTAAAGTTTTCTTCTGATTTAACCCTCGACCACTCCCGACTGGAGTTTAGCTGGCATTCTCAGCCCTATAAGGTAGAAACTAAGTTCCTTTTCTTAAGCCCATTTGCGTAACCACCCTCATTCCGAGTCATTCCGGTCATTTCCGTTTTGCTACCAGAGAAAAAATGTAGCAAATTTGGCGCCCATCCTGCATTTTCAATTTTCCGTTTTTTTTTTTCTGTCCTACATTAGTGGAAAAATATATTTATATATATATATTTGATATCAAGTACACATTGGAAAGGTGATTTTGGCAGTGTATGGTACTGACTTTGAAATGTTAAATAAATGGATTCTCGCGTATTATTTTCAATTTTTTTTTTCTTTGATAGGTTGTATATACAGTAGTGTCGCGATAATCCGATCCCGCGATAATCCGTATGCTTCTGTAATCCGCATCGCATTTTCGTTCTCTTGATGTACTCTGTAATCCGGATTTCACTTGATTCAGTAATCCGAATTCATTTACATGACTCTTGAAAATAAAAGCACAGGTTTTCACTTGTCGTTTTGTAACTGCATTCAAGTAGATAGATAGTTTTTACATGTCTACACGCATCATTCAATAGACAGCTTCCTTCCTGACTGTGTGGGGTTTTTCAAAAAAAAATAGCACAACTTCTTCCAAGCGGTGCAGAAA